TGCTTAGCCTGGAGAACAGCATGTTTTAACGCTAAGGAAAATTACATAGTTTATTTATTAGACTCACAACCTGCTTTTCCTCTAGGAACTCAAGGTGACCTACAGAATGTATTTACCTGAAAGGAAGGCTACTGTGTATTTAAAACAATCCCTTTTTAATGGTTAAAGAGAAAAACAACCCCATCTGCTTCTATTACCATACCCTCAGCATCAATCAATGATTATCCTATTTTAAGGGTAAGCACAATAGTCCTATCTCCAAATTTATCACTACAACAACAAACTGTAGAGATTGTGACTTGTAGATTTGAGCCGATTTCCCCATACCAAGTCCCAACTCTACACCACACTATTGAGTTTCAAATTAATGAGAAAGTTGCAGTTAATTAAAAATTAATGAGAAAGTTGCAATTAATGAAAAAGTTGTAATTAAAAATAAATATATTTATTTGCTATATATGGTGCTATATATCACCATAATTACAGTATAGTTTACACTATAAATACAAACACAAAACACATAATCAAACTACAGAAGTACAAAACCCTAAAACAACAATTATTCATAGATTCCAACCCAAAACCCTTGCGGGAGGCTGTTCTGTCATTTCTGTTAAGCACACAATTTGATTTGTTTCTATTATAAGCTATCATACATTTAATAATTAATCATGCATAAAAGCCAACAAGCTGCAATGGGTAAGAACAGCAGTCTTTAAAAAGGTTAAGCTACTTTTCTATATTGCAAGAAAGGGTATCAGAAAACTGACCTGAGTAACATCAGTAGCATCAATAAAGTTAGCACCTGGAAGTTTCAGCTCTTCATCCTGAAGGAGGCTGTCTTCTGAAGTGAGCTATATAAAAGACAATTTTAGGTTATCTCTCAAATTTAGCTACAGAAGTATAGTAATAAAAAATGAATGAATGTGACATGAATACGTGGGTGGAAACAGAATGAGATTGTAGAAAAAAAGTGATTTGGCCACAGGGAGACCAATGAGAACACTATCTAGTTGGTGTCTATCTGCTTAGAAAAGTTTGTTTGTTTGTTTGAATAAAGATTTAAGTATGTCTATCCATGCATACACATGGCGAAGGAATAAATCTAAAAGCATAATTAATTGATTATTTATGATGAAAGACTGAGTGAATTAATGAAGGATCATCCTGAAGACACATTCTCTAATATAGGACAGACCATTTTTTTAGTAGGGTCAAGAGTGGACATAGAAGAAGAGGAAAGAAGTGAAGGGAAAAAATGACAGTAGAAAGTACAAGTCCTACGTGAAAATAAAAACAAGAAAAATTGGAATGAATGCATATTTTCTGTAATACAGAATTACAGTAAAAATTAGGATTAAAAAAATCATTGTACAATGCACATAGCAAGAAAAAGATAGTTACAAATAATGTAGCAAAAGAAAGGCATAGTTAATATTAAAGGAGGCAGAGAAAATGTAGTTAGTCTGAAGAAAATAAAACTTTTATTAAAAGTGGATGTAGTGGGCTAAAGGAGCCTCCAGCAAAATGAACCGAATTAAAAATAAAAGTGATGAAATGACTTGGGATGAAACAAAATCCTCTAAGAGAGGACTCTGAAGAGTGGAACTAAAACAAATGCAATAAATGTTAGTGTCCCAAAACAAATAGATGAAAAGTCATAATGAGACCATGTTGAAAAATGGTAAAGCTGCTTGTCTAGATGGTACAACTGGAGAAATGGGATGATTTTGCACCTACTCAGGTGGTTTGATTGTAGAGTGGCTGTGTGATTTGTTTAATATGTATATAATGGCTATATGATTGAAAGAATGCCATTATTGTTCTATACAAAGAGAAAGGTAGCAAGAGTGAACGTGGCATTGAAGGTGTTTCTACGAATTCTGATTAAGGATATAGGAGGCAACAATGAGCAAAATTTGAGAAGTGCAGTGCAGCTTTATGTTTAGCATGGAGGAGGTACACACCAGATTTTTGCTCTTCGGTAGTAACTGAGAAATCTATGAATGTTTATTGTACAACAAAGATATGTAATGTCCCTGTAGTTGTTAATCTATTTTGTTGGCCAAGAACCTGAATTATTAGCAGTGAATGTTAGATCTGAAGGAGTATGGTTCTCAAAATTAATAGATCAAAGACCAAGGTAGTTGTGTTTGACAGTGAAAACAGAGTGAGCAACTGCAAATTATACATAAATGCAAAAAAAAAAAAAAAGGCAAGAAGATGAATGTGTGTACTTCGGTAGAATGTTTATTAAAGGTGGGGAAAATGGATGGAGAAATTTTAAGTCATGAAAATGGTGGTAGAAAGATAGTGTGTAATACATGATCATCCATACATACATACATGAGGATGAATGAAAGTTTATTGGAAGTAGAGAAAATGTCTCTTCTTCAGCAACAACCCTTCTGCAATACCTAGGCAAAATTGTTTGTTAGAAACCAAAGATACCTGTATTGTAGCCTTTGTAGGAACAGGTAACAAAGACACCTGGTTTCCACTTGTACCATCACTTGAGATGCTATCAATATCAATATTAGGTAGCATCTGCAAAGAAAGATCACAAACTGAGTTTTTCATTTCTGAAGTGGATACAAGCACATCTCAACCACACCTTATCATCTATGCTACATACTCAACCTGCGGCAATGGATACACAACTCACAATAGGTCACAATTTACTAATACTCTAGACAGAAAGCAGCTTCTTCAGAGCATGTCAGTATCAGAAATACCTTCTTCAAGCAAGACTGCATCCAGAATAAAGGGGAAAAAAGGAAGGAAGGTAGATAAATGGGAGAGATCCTTCAACACCAGTCCAACAGCTGCAGCTATTTTTATTTTAGATAATAAACTTCAAGCTGCTAGTTTTCCCTGCTGAGAAGGGAAATTGTCTAGCCAATATCAACAAGACTTAATTATTAATTAATTTTAACAAGCTATTTGTAAAAGCAGAGTACAATCACCTTGGTATGTCAGAAATGGGAAGGGCATCAATCAAGCTGACACTGTTATCACAAAAAGCAAATAATCTGAGGGCAAAATAACATATTACAGTACATGCATAAAAAATTGCTTTTTTTAAGGGAAGATTTCTTCTTCTTAACATTTAATGTTTTTAAAACCTTTTTTTAATCTGAAGGACTCTCAAAATGGCTAACAATGAAAGTTTTAATAATAATCTAGGAGAGGAAATTATACCCAAATCACATCCTCTAAGTCAGTTTTTTTAAATTTAAGGTATGTGGACTTCAACTCCCAGAATTCCTCAGCCAGCATGCCAGAAGTCCACATTGCCAAGTTAACACTGCTCTAAGTTGCTCCCTCTCCTCACCTCTAAGAGTTCTATGTTATTTGCAAGAATAAAAACACACTTGCCCTGCAGTGGGGGTCACAGGAAGGAAACTCTCAGAAGAGAAACTGTTTGGAATGGAAAAATTGAATGAAAAAAGATGATCACATCTCTCAGTTTTGAGCTCTTGATACAATATTTGCTCCACAAAAAAAGGGAATCAACCTGTCTAGATACCCTAAGAAACATTTATTTACAAAGGATTTTTCTAAAAAAAATCAATCAATTTAAATTTAAACAAATGTAGTTGCAGTATGTCTGTTCCTAGACCTAGGAAATGGAATCTGTGCCATCTTGTCTCCTCCAGCACTAAAAACCAGTAAGTATCTGATAAATTATCATGTCTATTAAACAGACTCCTAGTAGTCCTAAAATGCGACTTTAGTAAATAACTATTATTTGTGTTGGAAAACACAACTGCTTAAATAGTAATAGAAAGACTAAGAATATCGCAGGTAAGACAGCTTAATTTGATTTTATGAAATATTCCCACCTATACTCCCACTTACAATTTCCCTTTCAAAAAATGCTATTCATACTGTGCTCTTTCTGTGGCATCCAGATACAAAAGTGTACAGTGTGCTTTTCTACCAGAGAGGGATGGGAGCAGAGAAAGAGATTTTTTTTTCAAAGTGATCATTAATCCACTCAATACTTCTTATTCTTTATTCCATACCTGCACAGTTAGTTTGGGTAGATCCTTTTTCTCTGACTTCATCTCTATTACTGTGATATTTGGCTTCTTCACCCTTGGCTTTGGCCTTGGGGGAGAGGTAGGGGGAAGAACAGAAGCTGTCACAGTAACAGGATGGAATTCACCTATATTTATTTCTGCAGGCTGAGGTGAGATGAGGTTGACCTGTTTTTGCCCTATGAAAGTTCAAAACAAAAGAAAGCAATGAAAACTACCTTGAATGGATTCTAATGGAGAACAAAACCATAACCAAAGCCAAAATCAAACAAATGTGATGAATCAGATAAAAGGATAGCATTTTATCTATATCTCAGAAATTTTACTTGTACCTTAAACATTGCCTGTATTGTCTGTCTTATATCATGAAATTATCACATGCAAAATATGCAAAACAACCTTCTAATATATACAGTATATTTCTCATTTTGCCACAATACTGAAAACAGGTATGATGCCCTGAAAAATATGTGGCTTTCTACAGGCATAGGATGGGCATGAGGGGAATAATACAAAATCCAAACTTCCTTCTGTTAGCCCACTTTTTAGAGGGCCTATGTATTGGACAAAGGAATAACCAGCTTGAACTATATTTAATATCCAGGCTTTCCTTCTAAGCAGTTGCAGTTAGAAGCCAAGTATGTTCAATACTACATCTACTGTTTTTATGTCTGAATAGCTGCAAAATCATCCAATTCCTGGGATTTTTATAACTTCAGTATCCATCCAATCCACTTTTTCATTTTTATTAGTTATGAAAACATGAGGCCTGAACAGGAAACATCCCTGCTGTTCAGTGGCAATCCTTTTTTACCTGCAGAAACATCTATGGGTGGAAAAAAGGAACTACAATGACAACTACAAAAATTACAAGAAAACTGACCATGCATACATATACTCTGGGACAGGGACAATTCAGAGATACTAAAAAACATTAACTTCTGTTTTCATTGCAACAGACATAGGATAAATGCATGGCTTGAATCATTTGGAAAAGAGAAATGCCATATGAAGAACAGAAACAGATTTCCCATATGCCCTAGTAGAATCTAAATTGGAACTGATTAACCAGAAAAGAGGCCTTAAGCTGTGGTAAAAAATTGATGAGAACATCTATTCAGAACCTGGGAACTCTGAATGTGAAGACATATTCCATATGTATTATAAGATGGCAAATAAAGTGATATTATTGTACTGTTACTATGAAAATGTGTCATGAGTTCACTTTTGGAATACCAGAAGGGAGCCTTCCCCAATCTGGTGCCCTCCAGAGTGTGGAATTTCTAACTAGCATCATCAGCTGGCAGTCTGAATGTTCTGGAAATTGCAGACCCGGTACTTCTTGAGGAAGTGAATATATACATTCCAGGCACCACACCTTAAAAAGGGTACTGTGAAGTTAAAAATGGTACCGAAAAGGACAGTACAGATGATAGATCAATTCTGCTGCAAGGAAAGGCTTTGCTTGGCTGTTAAAAGAAACAAACATTTGTACTGACTATATCTGAGGCTTTTTAATTCAAAAAAGTTTAAGAGACATATAATTGAGACTCAAAAAATTGTGTGTGGTCTGGAGAAAACTTTTCCCTTTCTCACAATACCAGACCATGGGGCTATCCAATGAAAAAGAATTACGGGAAATTCAAAACAGATTGAAAAATTGCATCTCAATACATACAAGCAAAGCAAGATAGCATGACAAGCACCTAAATTTTCTTATTCCTAGAGGAAAAGTCATAAACCAGAATTTATGATCAGAACCAGAAAATAGCTGTGAGCTTATCTAGTCAATTCTCTTGCTTCATCAATGGCTATATACATGAGGGCTAAATAAAGCAACATTCAGAGAGTATCATTCAATATTAACTGGAAAAGGGCTGATTCCTTCATGATCTGCTTATCAGCTTCTCAGAGAGATCTCATCGATCAATGTTGCAAACAGGATGCTGCACTAGAGGGACCTACAGACCCATGCATATGTTTTAAGGCAGGCCAATCATTTCTTCATACTTTAGTCCCTCAGTTTCTCTTTCCTTACCAGTCTAATCAAATCACAACAGGTATCTGGAGATTAAGAATACAATTCTACTCCATAATGTTTTGAATTGAGAGCTGTGCCTTTTCCCCTCACTTGTGGGAACCCCAAGTTTTAAAAGCAGACCTGCCTCGGGATTAAGGATGATCAGAAGCAAAAACCTTGAATCTCCACAGTTACCTGATCTGCTAAACAAGGGGTGCTCTTTTTAATTCATACCTAATGGAATTGCCATTGGAATGAGATGACCTTCAAGAGGACCAGATGCATCGTGAATCTCTTTCGTTGGGCTGAAAAGATACTGTTCCTGGTGAAAAGCAGATACTGATTCTGGCTTCTTAGGACTAATAACTTCATTGTGCAGATAGGAGCTAGTCTGTGTCCTGGTAGATTTTACTTTTACACCTGGAGAAATCAGATTAATTATGTATTCACACATTGTGCAAAGCCTATTTTGAAGTAAGCCATGGTTTGTTTAAGAAATCACAACAGTACTATTAAGAGCATCCTACACTATAAACCAGTGTTTCTCAACCTTGGCAACTTTAAGATGTGTGGACTTCAACTCCCCGAGTTCCCCAGCCAGCCATGTTCACACTTTAAGAAGTCCACACATCTTAAAGATGCCAAGGTTGAGAAACACTACTATAAACTAATCCTAATGCTGGGTTCAAACAGCATGCAAAGCTAAAACCAACAAACCAGATTATAATTTAGGGTGATATGTGAACCAAACCATAATCTCCACATTTTAAGCACACAAAAGCTTTATATTTTAGAACTGCTTTTGCTGGCCTTAAAGCAGATATGGGGATCTTGTAGCAGTATGTGAACCTCTCCTAGCACTCCACTTACAGTTTCTCAGCCTCTGAGATCTTGCTACTAAATGTGGTTCACAATGATCAAATTTTAGTGGCATAATTTCTGGCCCCCTGCTCTGCCTTCTTCCTTTCTTTCAAAAATGAAAGGTAGGGATAGAAATGGGAGCCCTCTGGGAGGCAAAGAGCTCCCATTGTCATCTTAACTCCTCCCCCAAAACAGCCCCAGATCATGCCACCAAAATTCAGCAATTTTGATACTAAAAAATCCGCTGTGGAATTTTGGGTCAATTTTGGGTCATGTTATGGAGGGATTTTGTGTGGGAATGGAAATATTTAAATACCAGAGGCCATTTCCACCTTTTAATTTCCCCAAAACATTAAAAAAAAAAAAAACCAGGCACAGCCTCTTCTGGTGACACAAGGAACTTCTTACATTCTGTCAGAAGTCCAGGAGGCAGAGTTGTGGACCCTGACCCTCTGCATAAAGCAAGCAAGGCATACCAGCTTCTTCTGTATATGCACTCCAAATGTTCTTGAGCATGGAATGCCAAAGCTGTTAGCTACTATTTGATTTGCTCAGTTATCTGAAATCCTCCATTTTACAGATATCAAAGACTGCCATTCTTCTGAAGGGACAGGAGAATGGATTGCTCAAGAGATTTTCCTAATTCTTTATATTAGTGTCTGTTTTTTTAATGCATAGATGGTGGCAAAGATAATTAAATAAATGTCATTAATACATTATTTATCAGAATTAGCTATACTACTCTAAAGAATTTTCACAAGATCAAGATGAAATAAAGCATAGTCTAGAATAGAAAGGCAAGCTGTTTGAAATATTTTTCTTAAGGGAAAAAAATAAATCACTACCTACCTTTAACACTTTCTATTAGTTTTGGTTGTGGAGGTTTTGATTTGGAAGGTGGAGAATTGAAGCGCAAATATGGAGATTTCTTCAGTGTGCTTCTATGACCCTGGTAAATTGGCCTGCCATAAATCTGAGAAAGATACTCTTCATTTTGTGCCTCCAACCTTGTTTTCAGACAGCCCGTCTTAAAAAAGAAAAATCATTCTGAAATTTGAAATGGTTAAATAATTGCAGCCACCTGAATCTAGAGTTAGGATCTAGAAGGCCAGCGTTATTTATTACATCAATTTGTATGCTGCCTACTCAATGGCCTCTAGGTGGCTTACAATTTTAAAATCATAAGCACACAAACATATAAAAACCCTTATATATATAAAAAAACATATTTTCCTTTGCTACTGTCATTTACTGAAGATCTTCCATTCCTTATGTAAAAGGACTATTTTCATCCCTTTCCTAAATGCCAAAAGCTGGGAACTATCTCAACAATAGGGATGGGGAAGAGTATCCTTTAGGCTGAGATTCAAGGGTTAAGCACCAAGATAAACCCCTGCGGGCACACAGGATTGAGCTTCCTGGCATCTATGGCATTCATCCTCTACAATCGGTTATAAAGTGTTGTGAACAAGCCTTACTTGTATGTACTACAACCCAAAGCCCCTGAGATTATTGCTAGAGCTGAAGATCTAGCAGACAAGAAAAAGTCATAAGTCCACAATTTACGACTACTTGTTCAGCAACTGTTCAAAATTACAATGCGCTGAACAAGGGGGAGTTACGACTGACTCCTGATTATGACGTTGTAGTGAGCCATGGTCACAGGATTGCCATTTGCGACTTTGCTGCCGGCTTCCCACAAGCAAAGTCATTGAAGAAGCTGCCAGGGAAGGTTGCAAGTCACTCCTTTAAGTTGCTCCTGCCCCTTTTTCTCCCAAGGACCCCCACTAGACAGTACGAGATCATAGGGATCTCATACTCCATAGCATCCCCCTGCCTGCACTCCATAGCACCCCACTGCCCACAGCACCCCCACCTGCACGCAGCCTTCGCCAGCCCGCCCACAGTCCTCACCAGCCTGCCTGTGCTTCCCAGCGCCCACCTGCGGCACTTGTTGGCCCGCTCGCGCTCCCATAGGTTGCCCCTGGTGCTTTTTCTCCTGAGAAGCCCCACTAAGGAGCAATCTCGTACACCACAGCATCCCCCCGCCTGCCTGTGTTCCCCAGTGAATGCCCACTGTACCCCTCACCCCCCAGGGCACCCGCATACCCCTCTGCACCCGTTGCCTAGGATTTCCACCTTTTCCCACTTAACAATCCACATAGTCCTGGGGTTAGGATGGCAACCGGGACTGCAGGATTGCTGTCACTAAGTGATGCAGTCACATGATGTCGATGTCATACTTTACGACTGCATTGCTTAGCGATGGCAATCCCAGTCCCAATTGCCATCATAACCAGAGGACTACCTGTGCTGAATAAGCAAGGGGCAAATTCCTCTTCTTCATGCAGTTCCTGATCAGATGGCCTCGGTTAATTACAATCTGAGCTAGATTTAGCCCACAGTAGCTCCCATATACTGCATTCTCACTTTGTCTCTCAGCTTTAGAGGGGGCCTTGCTGTAGGCAAAAGCTGTTTTTTGGGGATTCTCTGAGCATACTGAGATTTTGCATATGTTTCTCTGCTGGCTGTCACAGTCTTGATGGCCTGCTGTGCCTTGAGGTAGTCCTTCCGTGATATTTCATCCTAAAAACAAAACATAAAAGCAGAAATAAAATGATAGCTTTTAGAATAACACAAATGTTTGGTGGCAGTTTTAATCTGTGAGTAATGCTTTCAGCAATAGTGCTTATAGTACCAATAGGAAGGGAGGTAATTGGTATTACGATGCAGTATTATAAAAGAAGTAAAGGCTTGTCTCTAACCTTAGCAATGATATAAAACAAATTTGTACAGGATTTTTTTTTAAAAAGCGGTATACTTGAAAAGAAAGTACACACCTTTTATTTGTTTCTGTCCTACCATTCCAGTTTTCTGAACTCTTAATTGTCATGAAGGCTATGCAAATGAGCAGCACTTCTAGAACTTTGCTAACATACTGCAGAATCTCTTGTGCAAAATGTTGCTATTTTAAAAGAAAACAACAATCTGGATAGTTATCTAATGAGTCAATGAAATCACTAGATTATTCATCTATCCTTGCCTTTTCCATAAATTAAGTGATTTATACTACAACCATTTTCTTCAACTATATATATATATACTCAAAATCAGCCCCAAAAAAGGAAAATGAAGATCTCATTTTTTCCATAGCTTATATCTTAGGCAATCTTTAGTATAATTTGCTATATTTGGGGGAGCCATATATTCACAGATAATGGACAGTTCTACAATAAAATTTGCACTATCAAGCAGTAAGAATGTTGATGTTATAGGGCCTAGAATTCAAAAACTAGAGATGGCTATGCCCATTATCACATGCAAAAATCCGAAAGACATTCAGTATTGAGATGTGAACTGTCTTTCTTTGGCAAAGACTTAGAGAATCATTTAGTAGCGTTATATTTTGCCACAAACCACTATGCTGCCATACCTGAATTTCCATGCTAATTGTCTTAATCCATTCATCTACAGTCTTCCTGATCCGTATTTCCTCCAGCACATCTCTAGAACAGGGGAGCAGCAGTAGAAAATTAGAGGATTATATCATCAAAAAATGAAAAACTTTGCCTCAGTAAAGAGTTTGAAGTTCATACAGTTTAGAGAGAGAAAGAGATATAGAAGTGCTGTTGATTTGTGTGTGTACACACTTTAAATTACACAGATGGACAATAGAATGGTAATCATGAAGCCCTGAACTTCTTTTTGAGTTCCCCTACCCCCCATAAAATCTTGCTCCTGAAATTTGTCTGCAAACCTTTGATAAACAGACTTGTGGTTTCCTAGAGACTGTCAGGGCTAAATGAAACAACCACAATCACTCAATACAAGGATCCCATCCTACTACTTATATGATGTTATCATATCATGGTCATATTTACTGTAATCCCTGGCCATCCCCCCCAAAAATGCAAAGAAAAGCACTGTCTGCTTCTGTATTCAGTTCCCTCACTTATCTCCTTTCCATTTATTTGAACTATGTACGTCATGCCTTCTTGGATCTCAGGAGCTTTTAATCCCACTAATCTCTTATCAGGAATGCATGAAGTGGAAGGAGTTTTCTATGGAGACAAACTGATCTCCAGAAAGTCAGGGATGCCAAGACTGTACACTTTTCAATGTTAGATCAAAGTGTTTCTAAACATTTTCTTAGGCTTAGATTAAGAGTTGGTTGTATAGCTCTTTTAATTCATTTTAATGCTCTGATTTTTTTGTTAACTTTACTATACTGGCGACGTGTAATTTTATACTTGTCCACTATTCTGGATCTCTTCTGACAAAGGATGGAAACAAAATTAACATTAGTCAATTTAAAAGGGCTGAAATTCTGAAAGGGAAATAAGATTCAAAGAACAAACATAATGCAGACTCAAAACATAGAACTCTACCTATCCGCTGTCAACTCATCTATGAAGGCATGCAAAGCACCAGCATCCTTGGCACGAATAATGGCTTCCAGGTTTTCTTCAAGAAGCCTTTTATTCTTGCGCACTGTTCTTAGGATCTTTTCAGCATCTCTCAATATAGATTTGGATGCCTTGTTTGACTGAAGAATGGATGATTTGGAAAGCTGCTGAAGTTCAAAAAGGTTTTTTTGCTGAAATCCAAACAAATTTTAAAATGTCACCAAAATCCAACAACCTAAGGTATATTGAATTGTATCTAATAAGCCCTCCCTACAGATTAAGATGGTAAATCAGCTATACCCATAGTTCCTTCTATGCCTTTACAATCTGCTCTGAAGAGTTGGCTGATCCTGTGGCATACCTGAGAAGAAGCATGTGAGGCAGAATCCCACTCTGCAAGCACTGAGTACTCATACAATATTGACTTCTATTTTTATAAAAGAAGCTCCATTTTTAGTTATTGGAGAAAAGCTTACTTTTGGGGGGGGGAAGTATGAAAAAAGCAAAAGAAGGAAGAATAGCTACCTTAAAATAAGTCATTTTCATATGCAATTTGAAAAGAACTGAGTATTATTTTAATTCATATTTAATTATTTTAAATATTTATATCATGCAATATATTACTTGATCTTGGGGTGCAATACAGTTAGTGGAAAACAGCAAAATGCGAAACTTTTTTTAAAAAAAGCCAAACCAACTGCCTTGTATTTTTGTCATTAAAACGAAACCAATGGTTGGTGCTAGCCTGCTTAGTAGAGGACATTCCATAATCAGAGGGTCATAAGCAAGATGGTCCTCTCTATATTTCCATATAATACACCTCTTCTAACAATGAGATAAGGAGAAGAGCTTGTTTTGATACTAGCACAGAAGTAAACTGAAAGAAGCATTCAAGAAGGTTGCTAATTGGAACCTCCTAGAATGTACAGCAGCTACAAGATTAAGAATGCTATTTTTATTACATGACATACGTTCCCTATGAGATATATATTCATTCATTCATTCCTGAAGCATGAGTAGAAGTACAGTAATTCACAAAAAACATCTGAAGTCCGTTACTGTATATTCCACTTGAAAATTAAACTTCATTTGAGTTCGATGGGCTTGCAAAGAATTACTGAATCATTACCACCTAACTTAAAGGTAAAGCATCTTCAAAAATGTGGGAAAATCAGAGTGTTATGCCTGCATCCCACCCCCAAACAGCAGTGTGACTATCAGATGAACCTTAGGGATCCACAGCCAGGAACTGTAACTGAACCCATTTCCTGGTTGCTACCTGTCATACCTCAGTTTCTGGGGGCGTCTTGAGAAGGGACTCTGATGAGTGGGCAGGTTGATGAGAAGAAAGGTAGTCCTTCATTTGGCCAGCTTCTCTTAGGTATGAGGTTGTCTGCAGTTTAAGAGAAAAGCTCACTGATGCATCTGAACAACTTTTCTCCTTTCAGTGAAGAAAACAATGAAGGCTATCTACAGAAGATGACACTAAAACAAAGCCAACTGCAAACCGTTCTAGAGTATCAGTTTTTACAGTATAGAGAAGTAGTGTGTGGGTGAGTTTGAAACAGAAGAGATCACACATTGTCCTAATTACATAAGATGACTAACAGCAGTTGATGCATTGACATTTGCTTTGCTACTCTATGAGGCCTGCCAGCCTGGCACTGGTTGAATGAAGCAACAAACTGCTGCTGGATCTAAGAAGCAATTCATACTTGGCAGATATAAGTGAAATGTTTGAAATCTAGTCTTAGTTTTTACATTTTGACATAGCCCACCAAAGAGTGAATTTCAACTGTTTCATGTTCTTAAATAATTTAAAAATTAAAACAAAAAACCCCCCTGCTAGATAAAATTAGAGGCCCATCTAGCCCACCATTCTGTTCCTAAAGTGGACAGCCAGGTCTGATGAGCAGCCCATCAGCCAGGCATGACAGCAATAGCACTTTTCCTACCTGTGTTCACAGGAAGTAGAACTGAGAGACATAATGCTTTTTATATAGGGAATAATATATAGTCATTGTAATAATTTAATTGCAGGAATAAAGATTCAAGCACACTGCTGATACTATAGTACAGTTATTGTATTGCTCTTTTAGTGCATTTTACTGAGGCAGCATACGTGCCTTTAAATTAAGACACAGTGGATAAATGGTATAAGAAATAAAGTGAAACAGAACCTTCACAAAACTGTTCATGTCTGATTTCCACCCCTTTGCATCCTGTAAGGTATAAAAAAACATATTATAGAGAGGTCTCTACATAGATATACTACAGTTCTAGGATTGTTGTTTATATGGTTTATATCCCTCTGAAAACTGTATAACATTATTCTTTCACTGCTGTTGTATTTGTTTACTTAAAATACTTACAAACTGCTCTCCATCCTTGTGGATGCCAGGTGATATACAAAGAATTAAATATTGACTCAAAGAACCATCAAGAAAAGTTTCTTGCCAGTATCCATCATGCTAGGTCTAACATAACATGCTGAACTTCTAAACACATTTTTAAACCACTCAGAAGCTACAGCTGGTCTAGAATACACTGGTGCAAATAATTATGGGCACTCCTTGGTATGCTCATATAACACTGTTATTTCACAAGCTGCACTGGTTGCCAGTAGGCTTCCGGGTGCTATTTATGGTGCTGGTTGTCACCCATGAAGCCCTTCACGGCACAGGCCCTGCCTATTTGTGGGACCATTCACCTCCAATTACCTCTGCCTGTCCAATAAGATCTGACAGGGTTGGCATGCTCCAGTCCCCTCATTCAAGAGGTGTTATCTGGGAGGAATGAGGAAAGATGCCTTTTTGTTGCCATGCCTGCCCTATGGAATAGCTTTCCTTCCAAAATCTAGATGGCCCTGACCCAGGCTCCCTTCTGAAAATCTCTGAACAGCTGGATTTCCCCCCAAGCATGGGTGAAGAGGTTTTTGTGAGCCTATCTCAATTGTCACTGCTTGTCTGCATTGCCTCTGATGCAATATGTATTAATATATTCTATTTTTTGTTATTTGTTGCTTTTAATTGCATACGCTGCCCTGAGTTGCCTGTTGAGTAGATAGCCATATCAGCTGAATAAAGACAAAATTAAGAAAAATTAACCACGGTGGCTGGATTCACGCACTGTAGTAAGTCAAAACCAAGCAAACTGTATAGTGGTTACTACAGTGTATGAACCCAGACAGTAATTTGTCTAAGAATATGCCAAGGACTTTTGTAGCTCAGCAGAGCAGTCCTTCCTATCTATATCACCACTTTATTCATTATGGAGACTGCCTCTTTTCTTCAGAATGCAAGCTACTACCCTCAGGAAACTGCCTCTGAATCAGAAGGGAGAACCTCTGGCTCTAAAAATTAAACCACACCCCCAATAATTTCGGCCTGCATGGCCAATGGGAGAGCAAGCTGGGAAGTTCACCAACGTCTGTAAAAGCCAAAGTTCCCATTCTTACTGTCAACAAACACAAATCAGAAATTTTCCAGAACTTCTTGACTGGAGCCACTTCTTGCTAAATAACACTTGTTTGTAAGTTTGTTCTACTTATGAGGAAGTTTGAAGATGTTCACGAAGCAATATTTTAATTCACAGTAAATATCTCTGCATGCCAAGATTCTTCTGCTATTAATTATTTCAGCAATATATATATATATTTACCTGCAGGAGATCATGCATTTCCCTTTTCAATTGCCCAAGATCATTAAGTACATCATCTGCTTTTTTTACAGCTCTCTCAATGGAACTGAGATCTTCGTTTGTGCTTTTAAATACAGGGAACGCTGTCTGAGGAACATTGGCTCTGCTAAAATTAATATTTTCAAATAATCATTAATCCCTATTGACATTACAAATAATATTTTATCCTCTGAGATTTATCTAAATCAGTCACATCCAACCAACTGCCCTCCAGAAATTTTGAGACTATTCTTTCCAAAATTATCAGGCTACATACTGTAATCCCAATACATATGGAGGATAGTACATTAGGAAAGGTTTTCCTAGATCAGCTCTAAGTCAAGATGAGAGTAATTGAACTACAATATGTATAAAGCATATTTGGGAATCAGAATAAATACCACAAAATTGGGTGATTTTATCCTTTCTGTTGCCCAGTTCTAAGAGATAGAATCTCACACTAAACAAAAACATACAGCAATATGAAAAGATCAACATTTTGATGGGAAGAGCTACCATATTGGTTAAGATGGCCTGTCACTGACCCCTTCCATTAAGTTCTTCCTTCTGCCTTGGCACAAAGATGGGTGGGATACGAGGAAAATTCATATTCTATCCAGTTTATTATTTTCCTTATTAGAACATAGTTATTAGAACATTTCACTTAAAAAAAATGGAATAAAATAAACAGATAGAAAAAGCAAGTGTAGAAGAGTATACAAAAGCAAGACTCCCATTTGCTGCATAATCTATAACCTATCTAAAAAATAAATAAATGGATGGATGAAATGAAAATTAAAATTAAAATTAAAAAAATAGAACAGGCTCTGAGTTTGGTGTTAATTCAGTTTGCACTATTTGGCACACATAAACTCAAGTAGAGTACACGTATTCTTTTACCAGTTAAAAAAACTTGTGAAGTTTTTCTCTAATATTCAAATATAACACTTAAAACATTCTAATATTTAAACAGAGGTTGACATTGTTGCTCATCAAGTAAATCACAATTCATGTTTAATGTTGAAGGGTTTTCCACAATCAGACTTTTCTCAGTCACATTAAAAAGATAACAGCTTGAAGCAACCAGAGAAATGCTTACGGCTCACTCCCCAAATGCCATGCCACTGCCCCGTTGGTTGCCTCCTTCGAAGATGTGCTTGGATTTAATGAAATTTCTTGTGCTTTCAGGATTTGCTCCAGAAGTTTCCCTCCACCTAGTGGAGGAAAAAAATCCATACATTGCAATGCACTGAAATAAGATTTGGGGGTGGGGACGCACAGATTATGTACGTTCAAGTAAGGGAGTACTTATTATTTTCTGAAGGAATTAGCATTTCCAGTTTTAGAATCTATATCTTGGCATGTATTTTATTTATATTAAGCATATTTTACTGCGTTGCCTCTGTAAAAGGCATGCTAAAATTTAATACAGCGCTGAAATAAACTGCTGATAATAATATTACATGTTAAATTGTGAATTAAGAATTTATGAGTAATAACTAATAATCACCATGTGTAAATATAGAATAAAGCTTAAAATGCACTGAGTATGAATTAAATTGAATTAATGGAATTTAAACAGTGTTCACATAATTCATTTTCTAGAAGCCTAGAAAAGACACATCCATGTACAGTAGCTCCCATTGTGCAAGTAAGCCGAGTAAAGGAGGTTCACTATCCCAGTCCTGTCCCTTGGAAACACTTTTTTAATACCAAGCATAAAAGGTTCCTAACTCTGGCACATTAAAGGTTAGGGTAATTTAAAGATGAAAGCCACATCTGAACATAGTTGAAAATGCTCATTCAAAAGGTCAGGCTAAAGTTTGTAACTACACTTATAGGGTTAAAGTTCACCATAACTAACTATTGTGGTGGGTACACTACAAGATTTCTTTTAATGTAATTGATGGGGGGGGTAGCAATAGTAAAGAGAAGGAAGCAAGAGTTAATACAGTTAGAAGTTGTGCAATATTTACACAATAACAGAAGAGTAGTCTAAGAAATTTACACAGGATGTGGAGGTGTCTAGCAATTGAGGATTGTGGTAGAAGTAAGAGCAGAGTGTTCTGAAAAACATATGAAGAATGGCTGGAGAAAAGAAGGAAGCAGTGGAAGAAATCCTAGGGCAATGAAGCTGCAAACAAGCAATACAGAGCAGTATTAAGCGAGTATTTTGGGGTACAAAGATAATAGACTGATCTGGGAAGGGGAGAATCTACGGAATGAAAGAAGAAGAGTTTGGCTAAGAATGGGAAGTAAAAATATCTTACAAGAAGAATAAGGGTTTGCTGGACTTGTGAGCACACAGGTTAGTTCTTACAACCCAGGGGCCATGCAAATTTGATACAAAGAGAAAGGAAAAGTAGTAATGAAAGATAAACAGAGGGAGGACCGGCACACTGATATATATATGCCAGGAAGAGCTCAGAAAGGTTATCAGTACCTTGGTAACTCCTTTTTCTGGATAGAAGAAAAAGAGAACAGGGAATTCTAGTGATTAAGGCACCAGGCTAGAAAACAGAAGACGGTGAGTTCTAGTCCTGCCTTAGCCATGAAAGCCAGCTGGGTAACTTTGGGCCAGTCACCCTCTCTCAGCTCAACCCACCTCACAGGGTTGTTGTTGCGGGGAATATAGAAGGAGGAAGGAATATTAGGTATGTTCACTGCCTTGAGTTATTTATAAAAATAATAAAGGTGGATAAAAATTTTTTTTAAAAAAGCCTTTTTTGAATCCTAACTTATAGGCTAACCATCTGCTCCTTATAAGCTCAAAACCTACGCAATAATGACGATGATGGCAATAATTCAGTTTTCAGTAGCTTATGGAATATTAGATTACATAATATATGCCAGTTTGGGAGTGAATTTACAGTTCTTTTGCTTCTAGGGATTAACTCAGCAGTGTTAGGAATGAAGGCTGAAGCACAATTCCATCATCCATTGTATTCAGTAAAGATGCATTCCCAGTCATCTTTTAAAAAATTAAGTGGCAAGCTGATAGGCTGCAAAGTGAAGTGCTAGCCCCTAACCTCATATTTATTTCAAATAATGACTCTGAGGCCCAGATATGGTCCACATACATTTTAATAAATTATGACTAGTGAGAGGTGGCTACAGCATGGGACTGTGCCACCTGCCCAGGTAAAACCAGTAATAGAAAAATGGGGGGAAAGTGTTTTGTTTGAGCAGGCAATTGGGATGCAGATAATTAATATGTGGGGTGGGCAGCTAATTTATTTTAGTGTTCTTTCATTGCTGGTTTTAATTCTTATTTATATCCACCATGAGTCCAACCAAGTCGGATAGTATAAAAATGCTGTAAAATAACCAAACAAACCTAATCAGTTTGTCCTCTGTAAATGGACACAGAACCCCTCTGCTTGCTCACCATTTTGGAAATAGGAACGTTCCTTATGGTAGTCATTTTTGTGACGATGAGCACAAAATTACTCTCAAAACTCCAAACATGGCCAAAAAGATTACCTATCACTGATCCAGAGGAAGAGGTTGAGGAATTAAATTTGATACCTTTCTGTCATGTACACAATTCTGTCTTTCATAAAAGTCCTCTCTTCTTAGATAGCAAAAAGGCTTCACTTAAACTTTTTCCAAAGCTAGAATGCAAACTGTTTTTCCAATCAAAGACCCAAAGGATATTAAAATACTGTATTCTTCTATAATTAAAGTGTTAAGTGAAAATTAACTAAATAAAAGGGAAAATATGCAACAGGTTTTGAATCTTCATTTTCCTTACCTACAGTTCTTCCATAAGACACATTTTCTTTCTCTCCAAAAGACAGCTCTTTCTTTGCCATTTTCTGTGAGATCTGGGCATCTTTAGATACAGGCATTGGAGCATACCTGCGTGGTGCTGGTGTCTTCAGAGGAGATTTCTGCATATGAACACCATGTTTTTCCAATTGCTGTGAACAGGCTGGAATACAGGAATATGAACATACACATTAAAAATAACAGAAATAGAATATCTTATTTTCAAACCATAAGAATTATGCCTTAGTCATGATTCTCTCAGCTAATCAAAACAGGTGTCAGATCTTTTGGAAGGTGAAATTAAGAATCTGGAGGTAAGCAAGTGGCAAAGCTCTACAGTACAGCAGGACACACAATCTTTTCTGATCCAAGGACCACATTCAGCCTGAACAAAGTGATTCAAAATTTCCAAAATTTGGAAACTTTCAGTAATCAATAGAAAAGAAAGGAAGGGAGATTGTCTAGTTTCTGTCTTTCCATGCCTTCCAGCCTTTGCCAGTTTCATTCTAGTTTTGAAATTTAAGATATTGACATGTAGAATTCATGGAGATTATTCTGTTGATTCAGATATTTAACCTTGTTTCTTCTCTTCACAGAGGCTCATTTCCAGACATCACAACAATACGTAAGATATTGAAAACAGAACCAGAAACCATGTTTTGGTGTCAATGTGAACCAAAAGAGGCTCATGCACCTGAAATACAAAGATGCCCCAGTAACAATAAACTGTGCTTTGGCTATTTTAAGTCTAGAAGATAAGCCAAAGGTGGTGAGTGGACCTTGAAACAATACCGTCATTCTTTTTTTGTTGTTGTTTGAACTATCAAGCAATTCTAACTTCTCTGTTCTTATTTTTTTTTAAAATAAACTGACAGGTTTAACAATACACAACTTGGTTCTTTGTTCTAAGTTTACATTAAGATAAAATACAAATGAATTGAATATGTCTCACCTTGTTTGTTTGTTGCACTAGACAGAAATAAGTCCTCTTGAGGTGTGGTTTGGTTACCAAGCAGCTTCCCTGCCTTCACAGCATCTTTTGACAATTCTCTGAAAGCTGCTGCCTTAACAGTTTGGAAACCACCTGAATTCAGCGCAGAGCTAATTAACTGAGACTATGAAGAAGAAATTAAAAGAAAATTCATAGACTGAGACTTTGAAGAAGAAATCACTTTGCAAAACTCTACATATTTGGAGACAATGCCAGTTGGAGAAAATATCACCATTACTGCCCATGACCTTGTCCTTTCTCAAAATGGAGCCGTCTTCTATCAAGAACTGCAAACAACATACATCAGAATTGTGTTCAGGAGCCAAATCTGGCCCCTACTGAACTTTCTTCATGTCTTGTAGCTGGCCACAGATGTTAAGGATCTACTTCTTTCTCTCCATTACTTTCATTATTCCCCTCCATCATTTTCTGCCACAGACAAAGTTAAATGGTTCTATGTCTCCTTTTCATCAGTATGGGCAGCAATTTTCTCAGAATCCTTGTAAACTTGAGGGATATTCAGGAACATATGGAAGTAAATTTCTTTTGTGCAGAATGTAAAACTACTCCAAATTTTCAGCTGGTAGCCATAGTAGGAAGAAAGCTGACTCAGTGTTACTGGCCAAATAAAAATATGGCTTCTGTTAAAAAAAAAAAAAAAAGTTGCTACCAGGGACATGCAGTTTCAAATCAGGTATTGAGAAACATACTAGTAGAGGAAAGGTTACCCTGAGAAAGCGCAACAACTATCAGTTCAGGTAACATACAGATTTCACTGTGTCTTTGAAACAGACTATGCATCATATTATGATTACAGGTAGTGCTTGCTTAATGACTGCCCTGTTTAGCAACTGTTTGAACAGTGCTGAAAAAATAAGTTTAGGACTGGTCCTCGAACCTATGACTATCATACCATCCCTGCAGTCACATGATCAAGATTCGGGCACTTCGCAACCAGCGTTTATGAGCATTGCAGTGTCCTGCAGTCACATGATCACCATTTGTGTGCTCCACAGCCAGCTTCCAACAAGAAGAGTCGGTGGAGAAGCAGGCAGTAAAACTGCAAGCCGTGGTCATGTGATGTCTCGCTTAACAATAGTGGGTAATGTGCTTAATGACTGTAGCAGAAGTGAGGTTGCAAGTCCGTTGCAGTCATGGTTTCTCACTTAATGACCGCATCCCTTAGCAATAGAGTTGTCAGTCCCAATTGTGGTTGTTAAGCAAGGACTACCTGTACAGACTTCTGTAACAATGGCTCAGTTTTGATTGCCTTATCTTAACTACATTCTGGTAGGTCATCTGAGCCTGGACTATTGGGGAGAATATGGTTAAGCAGTCCTCCAGGAAACCAGTATAGGGTGCAGAAGTGACCATAAAGCAGAGCCTTTCCTGCACCAATATCTCCAATGTTCCCACTTTGTTTTCATCCCTAGAAACATAAAGAGAATTCCACCTATCCCTACACATTTTGCCTCCAGCCCCAATGAAGTAATAGGTATTTTCTCTTTTGCTGTTGTATAAAAATAAACAGAAATTGACTGTGAAGAGCTGAATGGTCTCCTTTCTAGCCCAATAATTTTTCATAGAAAAATTGGGTAATCATTGCCTTTACAAAACAAAGTTCATTTTTATTCTGCCTTTAAAATTGGAAATAAAAATTTACTTTCAATCAATCAATATTTATTACAGTTGTTGATCAGTCCAAAACAAGAACATAGCAAACAACACCCCCCAAAACCAAAAACGTATTGTCAAAAATGCCATGTTGGTTAAGAGCCAAGTGAAGCTCAGGGCCTCTGCTTGCTAACTTCATTTTTGAAGAGTCATTTGGTAGGCTCGGCAAGACACAGCTTAAAATTTGGCTATAGAGAGTAATGGTTGTATCTGCCAATAAAAATGAAGCTTAAAATATATCAGATCAAAACAAGTAGCCCTTACTAGTTCTATCCTCTAGGTGCAGCAGGATCCTGCTCCACTTTCCAATTTGAGGGGGGGGGGTTTCTCTCTGCTCCTTTGGGTTAGGCAAAGAAGGAAAATGTCTTCCACCTGGTACTTATCAGAAGCAAGCATGCATCCACATATTCTTTCACTAGGCCTCAAAATAATCTAATGGCTAATGCTAAGTAGAGTTTTTGTTAAGGGCTTTGCCCTTATTAGCTACACTTATTTGATACAAAATTGCATTTTTAATACAGCTGGGAAAAGAGATTCTGTTTTTACATTTGGCTGGGTAATTTTGCTCATAATAAATATAGAAGACTCAGCTTCTTGTCCTTGCACACAACAGCCTCATGATGCTTTAGACAGTATTTTTAACTTCCATGTACTATGCTTGTACAACCAACTCAAATTGCTTTTAATTCATGATGAACAATTGGAAGAGATGGGGGAGCCAGAGGTAAAAGGAGGTGAGGGGACAAAGCTTTTGACAATACTCAGGTGTACTGATAATCTACTAAAAAGTGATAGTTAAGTCAAGAAGTGATTGGTCAGTACAAGCTAGCTCTGCACCAGCTGGTCATTCCTCATATGGAAATGTTATTAAACGTACAGAAAGAACAAACCATACAGATATATCTGAAAATATACTCTAATGCTGCTGGATCTCAGGCCGACTGCAGAAGTTACTGCTTCTATAAACATTTCCTTCTCCATTGGTTAAAACAATATCCTTGCTTCAGTCTACATGATCCAATTTCAGTCACAAGTCCCAGCAGGATTTTGACTCTTCCCCTTCCTACCAAAGCTGTTTCAATTGCCGTCCCAGCAGCCATACAGTTTGCTGGGATGTTTTTCATCACACTGGAGGGAGGTGTCAGTAGGGGCCTGTGTTTTCTACTCTTGAATATTTTCATTAATGATATACATGAAAAGTTAGATGAGCTACTTATCAAATCTGCAGGCTGTACAAAATTGGGTAGGAGGGCTAATACTCTAAAAGACACAAAAAAAATTCAAAATGATCTTGATAGGAATGGGTAGATAACAGAATGAAATTTAACAGACAGATGCAAAATTCTACACTTAGGAAGTAAAAATGAAAAGGTATATAAGATGGGGGATACCTGGCTTGATAAGTGTACTTGCAAAAAGGTTCTTGGAACAGGAGTTGATTATTAACTAAGTACAGTATGAGCAAGCAGTGTGATATGGCTGTAAAGGAGACAAATACCATTTTAGGTTGCATCAACAGACATATAATTTCTGAATCCCAGGAAGTAATTATTCTACTCTGTTCTCCTTTGGTCAAACCCTACCTGCAGCACTGTGGCCAGTTCTGGATGCGTTCAAGTGGAAGCAAGACTGCAGCCTGCTTAAAGTGCCTTCATTTGGATTCCTGCACTGGGCAGGGATTGGACTTAAGGCCTAAATGGCCTGTTCAAACTTGGCAATTCTATATGTATTATATGGTATGAACATGCTACTTAATTCAAATTCTTCCTTGAACTTGGAGACGAACTGCTCTTTTCTGCACAAAAACTTTAACATTTCATGATTAAACTGAGAATCCTATTGTTTTCAATTGTTATAGGATGTAAAAAAATCAATACAGTATCAATGCAGAAGGCATGATAAATCAGAATGAACCATTTCCCCATTCTGTTGGAGAATATTTAGCCCCCAGTGATGAACAGAACATTATTATGAAATAAAATGGCAGTGTTCTGTATTTTACTGTTAGTACCTGAATATTCATTTGTTGTTGCTGCAAATTTTCCAGATGTTGAATTCGTTGTTCCATGAAGACATTCATCTGTTTTTCAAGTTTGCCAACCATCTGATTGCAAGGAGTCCCCTCAAACTGTCCAGCTTTCAGATTGGCTTGCTGTTCGGCAACACGCTGCAGCTGTTTGTCTGTCTCTTGCAACTTATTTAGCATTTCAGAAACAGAGTTCACTTTTGCTTCCAAGTCACTCTGGACCTGAGTGGAAAGACACAAATAAAGATTAGGGGCCCTTTCATCTTAAGGTCAGACCATTTCTCTCTTAGCTTTGGATGGATGCAGAATGATTGAAATATATATTTTTAAACCTACCCTTTAACATGGCTGGGTAGGTAGAGAACCAGCCAATTGGCTTTTGGGGTTTTTTAACATGGAAGTAATTAAAAATAATAAAATACATTTATGAAATTACTACCAAAGGAACAAATGCAAGACAAATCTTTTGGAGAGGGTAAAGAAAATGTAAACATAACAAAGAATCTTGTGACTATAATCTTTAAAGTGGTATTGATGAATTTGTAAGATTTTAAGGTAGCCACTATTGGTCTGAAAGGATCAAAGTGGATAGTTGGATAGGCATTAAACCAATCCCCATTATAGACCTTCCTAATCTAATTCTTGCTGGTGCCTAGCAACACAGCACTTAATATTCCCACAGATGCAATCCACAATTTGAAAAAGGAAAAACAAGGCAGCACAATTAAGCGTGCAAATTAAAACACATACTTGCTCTGTTTGATGCAACCCACTCGTAGTAGTATCTCCTTTTATCTTAATAAGTAACTTAAGTATTAAGTAAAATAGTATCTCCTTTTAAGCGTGTGCATATTCAGCTACCCCAAAGTGATGAAATTTAACACTCACTTTCAAAAGTGGGGCTGTAGAAGCAACAGCTGCTGCTGCTGCAGCTGCAATGGTTGCTGCTGAATCCATCTCACTTTGAGTTGACTTGGAACTGTCCTTGTTCTCTGGACACGCGTCGTTTAGAAGATGTACCTTCACTTCTTTAAATACAGGAACATTTTGAATTCTGTATATACAATACAGACATGTAAGGATATGTAGTATTTTTGAGGCAACTTTTTCAAAGCATATTTTCAGTGAAACAATTTCCTTTCAATAATAAATAAATAAAAGTTGATCATCTGGGATTCTCATCCCCCGTTTAGCTCTCTCTGCTTAAAATTTCAGGGAGAGAGAGTTCCTTCCGATCACTAACTGGCTGACTCTTTTAACCCTTTAATGCCAGAAACTGAGGCTGAGACCTCCTGCATGCATAGTTCAATGATACAATATATACTAAGCTTCATCTCTATATAATTATCTTTCAATAAGACTAAAAATGTATGCCAGATAGATCAATATTGTACAAATCAACAGCTTTTTAAAATATCAAAGTAAATTCTGAGACAAACTTCCTTTACCTTCTTACCTCATATTAGACATATCTGATTGATTAAAAGCAATAACACATTGTTTTATGTGATTGTCCTTACCGCTGTTTGAATGCAGCTCTTACAGCTTCCTTCTGTCCAGTATCATACTGGGAAATGAAGATATCTGCTGCTGTAGAGCAAAGAGAACAAACTATTTTAAGCAGAAACCAAAATGTCTGTTCTTAGCAAAAAGAAAGAAAGGAATTGTTACATCACTGCTTAGAATGAGAAATTAGATCTCAGTATCATACATAGCTTTCAGCAACCCTTATCTCATATGGAACACAATGAAATATTCTATTCTTTGATTCTGGGATTTGTATTAACTTATAACATAAATCCTGCTTTCAAGGAGATTGCGATTTTTTATTTTTTTTTGCATTGGATTTGTGTTGTTATTGCATGAACGTTGTACAAAATAGGGTATCAAAAATAGAGATGCAAGATTTTTATACAGCATAAAAAATACATGGTAAATAGAAGCGTCCAATAATGCACTTTTTTTCTCTCAAGAATTACTGGACATTAATACTTTGCTTTAAACTTTCACAGTTGTTGTTTATATCTATTTAACAATTTTTTCAGTTGTTTTTTAATCTATTTCTCTCTTTTCTTCAAAAGTCATATTCTAAATATCTTAGCTTGCCTTGCAGTATAATATTTTATGTAAGGATGCTATTCCTGCCTGAATTTGATTAGGCTTCTGTTGTACACATATACAACCACTGCCACACATTCTCCAGTTCTGGTCCTCAACCTTGTGCCATTGGCAAGGTTTCTCTTTTCCAGTATTGTGCCAAAGTGATTCTTGCCACTATCAGCAAATATCTCAATAGGCTGTGATACTTTTAATAAATATTAGTGGTTTCAATTCAAATTTTATTTTTGAAATTCCCTGAATATTTTGAGGTATTTCTTTCCAGTACTTCTGAATTTTTTTTTTCCATGACAACCATATCCGATGGAACATTCCTTCTTCAATATGTCATTTCCTGCATTTACTGTTACATGATTTGACCATCATGGGATCACTCCACTTCTAACAAACAGACCAGGCAGATCAGATATATTTTAAACTTCCTTTTTCCTGGCAGATGCAACTGTTACTTTTCTTGGCCAAATTTTATAATGTGTCTTGTCGAGCTCACCAAATGGCTCTTCAGAAATCAAGTGAGCAAATTTAGGCCCTGATCAGTGCTCCAACGTTTTTTGTTAATATGACTTTTTGCCAATGTTTTGTTTTCTTTGTTAAGTTCTTATTTTGGACTGGTCAGTGACTGTACTAAATATCTGACTGATTGAAATAAAATATTTACTTCCAATGTTAAAGGCACAATAAAACTTTGTTTTGTAAAGGCAATGATCAGGCAATTGTTATATGAAAAATATTTTGAAATAAGGAAGTCAAAACAGGCTGATTCCCAGTTTAGAGTCAGCTCTGACAAAAGTTGGTATTTCAGTCCATAAAAACAAAGATTTCAGAATGGTTTCAGTTCACAATAAATTATAGAAAACATATATGAAACAAAAACTAAATGTTGAGCATTTATATTTATACTGTTTAATGGTATATTAGTTCTACTAACAGCTGAAAAAATAACCCCATCACTTTCAAAAAGAAAGGAAGGTAAAGATTTTAACAAGTAACTCTTAACTATCACTATCATTTATTTTATCTTAGGGAGTGGCATCACCTTTTTATTCTGAGAGAGAGAACAAAATAAGGGTTCAGAGAGAAGTTTCCTATGCGGTCACAGCTGTTCTGGAGGATCCCTCCAACACAACACTGAAAGCAGCTTTTTTGGAGAAAAATAAGGGATTGCTTGGTGGAGTGCAGAAAACCAATAAAGCTTGCAACCTCCACTATAAGATGCTTTACTGAACAGGAAACCTCTGTAGACAGAAGAAGCCTATTGTTCTATAAGAGGCAGACTCCGGATTCAACAGCAGGAAGGTGATTTTGAATTCAATCCTATATATTATGGAAACAAATGATTATTGAAAAGATGGATAATAGGGTTGGATACACATATCATGCTAAACTATAAGATAGTTTGCTTGCTTATGGTTTAGAGTAATATGTAAATCCCTTCTGTGAACTTCAAGCAATGGCTTATGACTTAGCATACTATGGAAATTCAGCTACCTGTAGTTTATTTAATAAACTTCAACTAATAACCTATGGCTTAGCGTGATGAGTAAATCCAGCCTGTCATCTCTCTCACATTTTACTACTCGCATATGTGTTCCATTTCAACCCCTCCATAAGTTAGTTTAAATGCTGACCAAATTTCGTCAATGGTTGGCCCTTGTGCAACACAACCAGTTCTAGAAAGACTCTTATGCCTTACTCCATTGCAAGGTATAAATAACCAATCCCTGCCTTATGTCCAATCCCAGCCCTCAAAGAAAGCAGAATATAGAAGATGGCACAAAGCAAATGTATAGTTAAAAATAATACGTGGGAGAATTTATATATTCATTCAGTTTCTGGCATTAATGGAGCCAATGTATGTGCTGTATCAGGTATTTTATTCTTTGGTTAAATCTGTGATTCCCCAACTGTGCACCGCAGTGCCCCATGACATCACAGTGAAGTCATAGGGGTGCCATGTGATATTTTACTACTTAATAAATGGAACTGTATCCCCATGGCGCAGTTTGGGAACTGCTAGGGACACTATGAAAACATTACTGAGACTCTAAGAGTGCCATGAACTAGAATGTTTGGGGACCTCTGAGTTAAATCCTTATTCTGAATCAGCCATTTCACTGTTTTTTGTTTCCTTGGTTTGTTCCCATTCAGGTTCTACATTCAGAAAATGGATTTTGTCTGATTCTTTAAAAAACAAGTTTATTCTCTTTTTCAGTTCAGGTTAACTTTAGCTACCAGAAATATGGGAAACAGACCTCCCCTCAAAAAACAAAAACCATGGCCTAAAGTGTAAATATGTGCAACAGCATGAGATTGCAGGCAAAATATTACCTTTCTGCTTAACTGCATCTCCTTTCCATTCTGAAGTAATCTGCACTGCAGGTTTATGTGGATATATCTATCCCAGAAGAGGAATTAAGGAGAAAGAAACATGAAATAAGCATCAGAATTATGCCATTACAGTATTTAATTTAAGAGAAGCAGATACTTGCTTCAGATATCTTGTATATCTAAAGCAGAAAGTAATCTGGCACCTTAAAACTACAAAATACATTGTAATATATAATTAAGTTCTAATTAATATTTTAGTTTTGAAGGGATAAAACTCTTTCACTTAGGCTTGGATGCCTGCTGCATTACCAACAGCTAGAATGTTTGGTATCAAGCCGCCAAGATTCCTTTGATTGCGGCAGCACAGAAATATGGAAAATAAATAAAGCTCCATTAAATGGGCACATTTAAAGCAGTTATGGGCAACATCTGACCACTGGCAGGCTATTATCTTGGAACATTCAGTTTAAATGAACTATATTTAACCTGGATTGGCAGAGAAGTTAAAAAATAAGGTAGTATGGTTCCAATAGGGATAGGAACAAAGCAAAACAGTTGTTCAGCCAATCATCGTACAGGTCCAGTCCTTAAAAAAACAAAACCAATTGGTTTGGCTATTTCATGCCATTTCATTTTCAGAGCAACAGCTTCAGAATAATATTGTGAAACTGATGAAACACACCCAAAACTGATAGGCCATTCCTTTAATAAAGCACAAGTGAACAGAAAACTACAAATATAAATACTTCTGGTATCTAGATCAGCAAGACATAAGCATACAGAGATGTTTGGTGAATTGAGTGATGCTACTAAGACTTATAACTTATCTCCACAGCTGGAACAAATTACACATTTTACACATGCAAGTAGATAGCAAAAATGTTTTAGTGTATTGCAGATATCAAAACTTCAAAGGCAACCAAGGAAAGGAAGGAGGAAGAGGATAAGGAAAGCAAAAACTGAAACAATTCATTTCTTATGGTAATGTGTTTGTAAATTGAGATTCATGAGGAAGGAGGTTGGAGACAGCTTTAAAGCTCAATGATAATTAAACAACTCCAGTTAAACTTGAAATGGGGAAAACAAATTACCTCCGCTGAGTTAAGACAGGAATCATGATTTCTGAGGGGGGGTTAAACTACAGGGAAAATACCAACAAATATATGAAATGCTCAGAACACTACTGAGCTCACCTCTGAAGAAAAGCATAAAGGCTGTCCATCTTTTTCAGATGACGCTAACTGTTCTGGGTCTGTGCCAGTGTGCTTGCTTACAAGGCCTAGAAGAAAATATGGTTTGTGCATTATTTATACAAGGATTAATTTATGCATGCAGCATCTTCTAGTATCATCCTGGCATAACTTTTATTACTTCTATGCAAGAAGCGCACAACAAATCAAAATAATTGCAGAACAGCACTTATACGAAGGCTAAATGAAGGAATTGGATGTACTGAGCATGTTGTCAACACAGACTGTTAATATCAACATGCTAATATTAATACCAATATACAACCACAAAAGCTGCAGAATGTCCCAAGCGTGCTAGCAATTTAACAGAAGACAGCTCATGGAATTAGGAACCAGGACTTTTGGAATGAAGTGTTTTATAAGTCTAATAAACAAATAGGCATCCATTAACATATCATCAAATGTTATCACAGAAACTCCACTTTATTTGAAGTGTTAAATTCCTACTACTTATAGGCTCAGTTAAAATGCTGCAGAGATCTAAAGTATAATTTGATATGTGAAGTTTTCATACATATCATAAGATGCAGACTAAGTTTCAGAAAATTAAGAACAGTAATAAATATACCCTCTGTTGTGTTTCCAGAAGATACTGTTCTTGATTTATGTTGTACAGTTTTGTTTGCCAGCAATACTGATGGTATGTAAGCTGCATCATCATTAACCGATGTTGAACATTCTGGACAACTGGGTGGAGTCACTTCTTGAAGCTTCTTCACTGAAATGGTCAACTTTTTCCTAGCACAGACATCAGATTTGCTGCCAGCAGATGCTGCCCGAACACCAAGAGATTTATTTTTCATGCGGAAGCTGGTGGAATAGATAAGAGTGTCACTGGCAGTGAGGATAGCCAAAAAATCTTTACCTGAGCCTTCCACTTCCTGTAACAGCCCTCAGCATATCCATTAGGTCCCGTTTCTGTTAAATAATCACAACACTAAAGAATAGGTGACATAGTGAGGCAAGTTCAACTGAAATGTCTGTTTATGACTGCTCTATCAAAAGATAATCACCACCATGAACTGTAGCAGAAAGACCTATGCAGCACACCGCTACTACTGAGTGCAAGAACAGCCCTCCTTAAATACACTCTGACTAGAAAAATCTGGAGTCATCCTACAGAGCATTCTACAACCAGCTTGCCTGGACAGAACACATGGTTGTATGAAGCCCTCCCTTCTTACATCCTAAAATAAAGCTAACATGGATTCTTTATTCATATGCAGATGAAATAATAGAACATTGTTTTTTCTACTGCTGAATACCTTCATTTTTTTCCAGAGAGATTTACAAAGAGCAATCATTGCCTACATATTCCCTGCCAAAATTCCTTAAAGTGTTTTCCATATTCGTAAGCTGCAGGAAGCAGTTCATTTTCTTAACATTAATATCTATAGATGTTATTTATGTATTCTAGATACTGAAACCATCTGTAACAGAAAAAAAAAACCTAAATGCAAATAGCTAACATCCATTGAAAACAATGTCCTGTTCCTGACAGAAGCTTCCATCCATTTACCTCAAGCTCTGCTATGACACTTATATCTGCTACTCAGGAATAATTTCTGTAGCTGCAGGCTACAGTTCCAATTTGATGTTATGGCTACAGAGGCCTTTAAATCATGAATACTATCTGATTTTCTTTGAATCCCATGCCAAACCAGCAGCACTGAACACATTTTGGTGCAAATAAGCAGAGAAGGAAGAATCTCCCCAATCTGTCTTCCATCACAAAATAGTAAACCATACATCATTACTTTCAGCTGCCCAATTAAGCTAAATTACATAGAAGCGGTATGATCAAGACTGAGTTGCATATAAAGTGGTATGTTTTGCTTTTGTTCAGAAGATAATAAATTTCGTATATATTGGAAATAATTAACTGCAACCATTATCCTTCTTCCTACCGCTTGAAACCATAAGTAACCCATAAGATACTGGGGGGGATTTCTCGAGCCTTTACCTCGCCATAGCTTTCAATACTCCCCTCACCTTTATCCCCACTGGGGACCCGCCTTCCCTACACTTTTCTTCCCATATATCAGTCTTTCTACGGTCGTCCAGCAGTCAGCCACTAGAAACATCAGTTGTCATAGTCACAACACCACCTACAGCAACAACTCCCGCCGCTTCCAAACTGACAAATGTAGCCCAACCTCTTCCTCTTCCTCTTCTCTAAGGGGAGGAGGAAGCTGAGTAAAGAATGCGCATGTGCAGCTGAAACTTCCGTTATCTAGGCGCACGCGTCTCAATATGCACCTTTCTTCTCTTCCAATTCTCAGTCCCCCGTTTTTTATTCGCTTCCCTCAGTTCAACTATGGTCGTTTTCCGGGTAGAAACAATTTTCCGCACAAGTGGTTCCCCCACTCACCCGCTATATTTATAGAACTATTTCGCTGTACATATCGCTTCTTGATTTGCCGCTTTTGCCAAGCGGGAGTAGGAGCAGAACAGCCTTTGTAGGCAATGGGAATGGCTAGGTGAGGGAAAGGGGACAGTTTACAGTGTCGTGCCCATTTGGTGGTTGCTAGGTAAACCTACTTGACAGCTCCGCCATCGCTGATTCGTGTCCACCAGCACGAGGTATGTAAGTGGAGGCGAGCGAGGGAGAAGCACTCGTGTTTGTCGTAAGCATAGGTGAGGAAGGAAGCGGGGGAACGAAGAATAAAAGTAAGAATTTTTAATGCGTTCAGTAGAGTTGCATCTGTTAAAAAATTGCAGTTGTCTCTTTTTACTAACACCCTGGAGAAAGTTAGTAGATAGTAAAGCTTTTTTTTTGTTTTTTTGGTATGAACAAAATTATCGCGGGCAAGCTTCGTTTGCTTCAGTTTCTGAATGTTGGACTGCAGTGATAAAAAGCGCGAGAGCTTTGTGGTTGGACTTCTGGGTTCCTCAATATGTTCTAGCGCTGCAGCGCCTCTGGGGAAAGGAAAGATTTACAAGCTTTCATCATGACCTTGACAATCCATCAAGCTGTTCCCTGGAAATCAGTGAGGTCTAGGGCTCAAGCAAGACTCTAGACCCAGGAGGCCCGGAAAGACAAGACTGACTCGGTGTCAAACTTTCTCCTTTAAAAAAATAATATAGTACTGCTTCAGACAGTTATGCCTGTATATGTTTATGTTATGCCTGTATATGTTTATTCTCTGTATAGTCCTTTTTTAGATTCGTATATAAATTATATATATTTAAAATGTTTGTAAATTATTTAAAAAATCTCAAAGACTTCACAGTAAATTTTATACAACTGTATGGCAAATAGGGTGATTAGAGAATTAGCATTATAAAGGCCATCAGCATTTGAATGTTAAAAGTGCCAGTGAAATATAACAGTACAGTGAACAAGAGACTGTCAGTGCCCTGGTTTTCCAAAATCCTGCTGGATCCACTCAAATGTCTGTCTGATCAGGCATCCTTTTCCTACAGTGGGCAAATAAATGTTTATGGAAAGCCAAAAGTTCAATGGTACCATCTCATTGTATTGTTGAAGGCTTTCACGGCCGGCATACGATGGCTGGTGTGGGTCTTCCGGGCTGTGTGGCCGTGGTCTTGAAGTTTTGTTTCCTAACGTTTCGCCAGCACCTCTGTGCCCAGGGCACAGAGAGAACTGCTCCTGTCTGTGCTCCTGCACTCTGAAGATGCCGGTCACAGGTGCTGG